CTCTATTCCACGAGGAGGACAGATAGTTCGGAATGGCTCCGTAGTTCGAACTATCTAGTCCGTGCCGCGTGTAGCCGCGCGTCACGGGGTTCGCACTAGCCGGCTTTTAAAAAAGGCGGCGCCAGCTTTATGCTAATGAAGCCCGGGAAATTCAAATCCCGGGCTTCATTAGCAAGTTCGGTATGCCTACATTACCCTCCTAGTTCGAACTAGGGGGGTAGTGTAGACATACCCAGGTAGGCTTATAAAGACAGTTCCGTCGCGTCATAAGCTCTTCACCCAAGCCACTTACCCCCCTTTCTAGAAAATTTTAATATCTATGCATATCTTAGCCAACTATACATTGTGGCCAGAAGCGCTTCATAATGCATCAGTAACTTTCTTATCAATCACAAAAGGCAGGTACCAGGAACAAGGAGACAAAAGAGTCGGGTACAAACAAAGGGCAAAAAAATAGGGAGGTAAGATTAGCGAAGGGGAACAAAAACAGGGAGTTTCTGACCAGTTCCCAAAGCAAGCCACAGTAGGTACAAATATGTAATTTATCACTTATCTTACTTTTATAACCTAAGCCAGCATGGAGGGTGCGCCTCTGTTTGAACCACTTTTCTGGTCAAGAATACTCAGAGGCCTATGAAATTAGCCTTTGTTAAAGTTCGTTAGCATAATGTTGACCAGGCCTTGTTTTTCTGGGCCCAACAAACTGAATTGGCTTTCAGGCCCGTCCCCAAGCCCACATCTGTCATTGGGTGCCTCCCACAACCTCAAATCTAAGAAGCGTGGACCCTGGCATACCTGTCTGAATGATCCCGCACTCTGCCACTTAGGGTGTGTCTAGATTACCTAGTTTTGTCGACAAAAGTGGACTTTTGTCGACAAAACTATACCAGCATCTACACTACCGCTGAGTTCTGTCGACATAACGTTGACAGAACTCAGCAGTTTTGTCGACGCTGGTATACCTCATTTTACGAGGCATAACACCTTCTGTCGACAGAACTCTGTCGACAGAAGGTGTTATTGCCTGTAACATTGCGTCCAGACTACGGAGTTCTGTCAACAAAGCAGCTTGCTTTGTCGACAGAACTCAATGTGTCTGGACGCTCTTTGTCAACGGAAGTTTTGTCGACAGTATCTGTCGACAAAACTTCCGTCGACAAAACGCGGTAGTCTAGACGTACCCTTAGTGCCCTGGCTGAGATGTACCACATGTATCAAAAATGTAACAAATATATATCACGGGCTTTTGTGGATAAAACCCACTTCATTACAGGAGTTGGAGTGGAACTCAGAATCCAGAGTTATGTATATTTCCACTACAACTCATCTGACAAAGTGGGTTTTACCCACTAAAGCTCATGATCTATTTGTTGGTCTTTAAGCTGCAACAAAACTGCTCATTGTTTTTAAAACTGCAGACTAACACGGCTGCCCCTCTGAGACTTGATAGTTATTTGGTTTCTAGCTCTCATCAGCTGAAGAGAAACGCTTGGAAAAAAAATGCTACTAGTGCATACTAACGGCTCAAGCCTGGATCCTCAATGGCACCTAACTCCCACCACAATCTTTGTGACTCTTGAAGTCAGGTGCCTAAATACTATTGAAGATCCAGGCCTCAGAAACCAGGAGCAAAATTAAAATGTCACTGATTTTTTTCAGCCAGGCTTGTGATATTTTTAGGAAGCCTCGGGTCCTGAGTTTTGATTGCTTAAGGATGGCAATGCTGAATTCACCTGTCAGGAATGTAAGGGCAGTGTTACATCAGAGCTCTGGAAAGTCACTTCTGGTGACTCTGTAGTAGCCTAGCGTTCTCCTGATTTCTCCCTGAACTGTTTTTGTGGGGCTGTAAAACCTTGGGAAAAACTCCTTGGTGTGAGAGCCTACTTTACTTTGGTGAGGCCGCATCTGGAGTATTGTGTCCAGTTCTGGGCCCCCCACTACAAAAAGGATGTGAACGCATTGGAGAGGGTCCAGCGGAGGGCAACCAAAATGATTAGGGGGCTGGAGCATATGACTTATGAGGAGAGGCTGAGGGAGTTGGGTCTGTTTAGCCTGCAGAAGCGAAGAGTGAGGGGGGATTTGATAGCAGCCTTCAACTTCCTGAAGGGAGGTTCCAAAGAGGATGGAGAGAGGCTGTTCTCAGCAGTGACAGATGGCAGAACAAGGAGCAATGGTCTCAAGTTGTGGTAGGAGAGGTCCAGGTTGGATATTAGGAAAAACTATTTCCCTAGGAGGGTGGTGAAGCACTGGAATGGGTTCCCTAGGGAAGTAGTGGAGTCTCCATCCCTAGAGGTGTTTAAGTCTTGGCTTGACAAAGCCCTGGCCGGGTTGATTGAGTTGGGATTGGTCCTGCCTAGAGCCTTCTGAGGTCTCTTCCACTTCTATGATTCTATGATTCTAAGTCTGCTGGATTTCCCACCAAAACACAAAAGGGTAGGAAAAGGAGAGAGAAGAATGGTGGCCAAAATGGAGTCCCTGTTGTTGTTCAGGCTCTCAAAATGGTGCCTGTGCCCAAGATGGTGTTTCAGAGAATTTTAACCCTACACACTCAGCCTTCCCTGCAGTGGAAATGAAAGTCCCTGACAGTAGGAATAAGGGATCTTCCAGAAAAGGCTTTATTTTCCGCAAGATCCCGTCTAGACTGGCGCTTTTTTCCGGCAAAGAGCCGAAAAAAAGTGGCAGCCATGTTCATGCAAATGCCGTGGGGGATATTTAAATCCTCTGCGGCATTTGCAGTTCCGAAGTGTCTCATTAGCATCCCTTTTACGGAAAAGGGTGCCAGTGTAGACACAGCCAGAGTGACTGTCTAGGAAGCAGAACTGTGAAATCACTTACAGGGGGTCATAGTGGACCACAAGCTACAGGTAACTCAATAGAGTAACATTGGCCATGTAGGGAGAGTGGATTGGTCATATCCTGGAAACATTGTGCAGCAAGAAATGGCAAAATGCAGACAGTGTAAGTGAGGGTCAAAGGAAGAGGGGAAGTCAGAGAGGAACCCAAGTGCCTGACTTTGGATAACAGGAGTTTTGGGAAAAAGACTTTCTGTTGACCACATCACATTTTGCAGCTGCTAGCTGGACAAGCACAAAGAGACATCAGAAAGACACATTGAGGTATGTTGTCTGATCTATTGGTTGTACATTCAGTCTATGAGGTAAGTGTGGTTTAAAGTTAAAGGGTCGGAAATGTGGCTAGTCCCAGGGAGGCGCAGAAACAGGCAAACTATTACTAAATATCTTTTAAACTTTTATTAAAGGGCTTCTACGTATAAATTATGATTTTATCAATTTCTTACATACATAGGCACCAAATAATTATTAGAATGACCAATAAGCAAAATGCAATACAGTAAAGAAAATTCCTTGAGGTTTCACTAAATCCCAATGGTTGTTAACAAGGGACTAGGGTTTACTAACAATTACATTTACATCAGTCTTACTTATAAGACTAATCATTTATCTAAAACTCTTAACACTACTACTTAACAATACCTCTAAACAATTTCAGATAACAATACTTACATTTAACAGACACACAAACTACAACAACAACATATTCGGTATTCGTTATGTTTGGTATACGTTACGCTCTACAGGAACTCTGGTTCGGCGGTGAGCGGGAGGTGGCCCTCGGGTGATCAGTCCTCGGACCTGGCTCATATTC